CACTTGGGGTAGGGATCTGGTGTGCAGGACAACGTGTGGGGTCTGAGAGGGTATGTCTACACTACCCCGCTAGTTCGAACTAGCGGGGTAGTGTAGACATACCCTCTCAGACCCCACACGTTGTCCTGCACACCAGATCCCTACCCCAAGTGAGAAGCAAAAAAACAAAAACCAAATCCTTACTGACATGGCTCTCGACTGCGGAGAATGACACTCCCCACATTCCACTCGCACACCAGAGCCCAGTGGGGCCCAGGCCAATAGATTTTGTGTCCTTCAGCCCTGCTGGGGAGGGGAACCTTGAGATTCGGGGGCTGGATTCAGGCAAGCTGGGGCCTTGGGTTTAGATTATTAACAGAACAGGTGTGAATTGATGAAAGCCACACTACATAGTTCTGTTCATGGGTTTGCATTGGTGTGCATAAGTGTGATATGATGTCAGATTGCGAATGGTAGCTGTGATATGTGATTATCTACCATGTTAGGAAGAATTGCTTGAATGGGTCATCCATGCTTTCTGAGATTGTGAATTTGTTAGGAGTTTTTATGTAGGAATTACAGAACATAAGTTTGCATGCAGCATATTACACTTGTGTTTGAGTTAGGGCTATCCCTTGATTGGATGAAAATATTTGGGCCGCAGGCAGTGAAAGAGAGAGAGAGAGAGAGAGAATCGGGTGCTTATTTTCGTTGCTCTTCACAGTTTGCATTGCTGGATTATGTAGATTAACAGTTTTAACTCAAAGTTCGTTGTGTGGGAATTTCCCATTTATGTGCCAATGTGTTCAAATAATCAGCTATTGAAGTTGACATGTATGTGGATAAGTGTAAAGTAATGCACATCGGGAAAAATAACCCCAACTATACGTACAGTAAGATGGGGGGCTAATTTGGCTATGACAAATCAGGAAAGAGATCTTGGAGTTATCGTGGATAGTTCTCTGAAAACTTCCATACAGTGTGCAGCAGCGGTCAAAAAGTCAAATAGGATGCTAGGAATTATTAAGAAAGGGATAGAAAATAAGACAGAATATCTTACTGCCCCTGTATAAAACTATGGTATGCCCACATCTTGAACACTGTGTACAGATGTGGTCTCCTCACCTCAAAAAAGATATTTTGGCTTTGGAAAGGGTTCAGAAAAGGGCAACTAAAATGATTAGGGGTTTGGAACGGGTCCCATATGAAGAGAGGTTAAAGCGACTGGGACTTTTCAGTTTAGAAAAGAGGAGACTGAGCGGGGATATGATAGAGGTCTATAAAATCATGAGTGGTGTGGAGAGGGCGGATAAAGAAAAGTTATTTATTAGTTCCCGTAATAGAAGAACTAGAGGACACCAAATGAAGTTAATGGGTAGCAGGTTTAAAACTAATAAAAGAAAGTTCTTCTTCACACAGCGTGTAGTCAACCTGTGGAACATCTTGCCAGAGGAGGCTGTGAAGGCTAGGACTATTACAGAGTTTAAAGAGAAGCTAGATAATTTCATGGAGGTTAGGGGATAGAAATGGTGTCTCTGGCCTCTGTTCGTCAGAGGCTAGAGAAGGATGGCAGGAGACAAATCACTTGATCATTGTCTTCGGTCCTCCCTCTCTGGGGCACCTGGTGCTGGCCACTGTCGGCAGACAGACTACTGGGCTAGATGGACCTTTGGTCTGACCCAGTACGGCTGTTCTTATTATGCCTGGCAGATCCCCCGTGTCAACCACACTCCTGCTCATTGCCTGATTACCTTTTTAAATCTGTTGTCCATGCAGTTCTATAGATCCCTGTCTTCTCCATGCCTCAGTTTTTCCCAGGCTTCTTCACTCCCTGCCACATAATAAACTCACCAACCCCCTCTCCTTCCTGCCAACATGGGCTGTTAAATATGATCAAACATCCATATTTATTATGTAGCCCATTTGTAAGTACCCCTGTAGTCAGATCTGACTGCTAATACAATGAAACATTTCAAACTAAATGCCATTGGAAAGCAGGGGTACATGGTAGGGTGGAAAGAACATATTGACCAAACTGTGGAAGGCCACCGGGACAATCAGAGGGAGGAGACAAGGGTAAGGACACGGGAGGCTCCTGAATGGGAGAAACAGGATTTAGGGGAGAGGGGTTTTCTCCACAGCACTGTTGCCTTGGCTCCTAGGTGGTGAGGTTTAGAGATTACGGTTGTTAAGGTAGAGGAATGCAATGAAATGTGAGACAAACAGACAAAGAGAGTATTTTAAAATGTTTCCTTGGCAAACATTAGTCAAGATTTATCTTTAAAGACTTCATGGAATAGTCAGAGGTCCCTGGAAGAGTTACTGTGCCAAATGTGGAGCCTACCTCCAATGACCGGAATCTGACAGCGGACTGAATACTGTTTAAGGTGAAATCTTACTAGATATTTTAGAAGTGTGCATCTGTCTGCAGGTCCGTTTATCTGTGAGTCTGTTTGTTAAAGAATTCCTGTTAAATAGTATGAGCTAAGATCACCAAATTTGGTAGGCAGCCTCCTCTTATAGCTTAAAGCAAGGTCAGGGTTTGGTTATGCCAGGATAATGGGATGTGCCTGAAATTCAGTTGTTTCTCATAAGATGGAAAGGGAGGGGTCTGGTAGGAGGGAGTTATACTGCAAAATGACCACAGGGGGGCAACAAGGGGCCAGAGATGGGGACCAGGACAGCTATAACCCCATTGGGCCAGTAGGGGGCAGGAATGGTGAAAGGGACAGCCATCTACTATATATTTCAGACAATCTGAGTGTCTGTTTGTCTGTGTGTCTGTCTATCCCCCAGCTAGGGGACATGCACCCCTCCCCCAGTTGTGTCCACAGGAGCTGCAGCGGCCATGGACAGGCACTTTTCACTTGGCCCCAACGTGCTGCTGTGAGAGAGGGCTGGGGCTGTCCTGTTTCCTCAGGGCAGCCTGCATATTGAACAACTCATCCCCAGCCCAACCCCAAAACAATTATTTAAGTGAAGAAAAACAAAAACTCATTTGGGTTAAGAACCAAAGCAATGCTGGATAAATCGTCTACTTTCAATATAATCTTAACTAAGGGGTATTACCATTGTCTACATAATTGCTACAAACAGCATTACACAACAATATCTCAGAGCCCAATTCAGCTCCTTTTGAACTCAATGGCAGAAAGTCTTTCTCTTCAGCTGGAGTTGGATCAAAACAGGTCTTATTTGCTCCCAAAATCTGTAGAAGAAACCTGTGCATTACCTCCCAATAATCACAATCTGGCCCAGTTTGCAAAACAAAAGACACTTCCCCTGGGAGATACCATTTTAAAAATCATATGTAACTTGTTGATTCCTTGACTTGTGCTGTGGAATTTTTCTTGTTATTATGGCTTGCCCAACAAGCTTTTCATGACAGTTATGAAACAATATGTTGCTTCCCAAGAGAGAGAATCTGAAGAATGTAGAAAGAGATTTGAGTGTGTCAGTCAAATTTGCTCTAGAATTGTGGTTTTCAAACTTGTTTTTCTCATGACCCAGTTGAAGAAAATTGTTGATCATAGAATCATAGAATACTAGGACTGGAAGGGACCTCGAGAGGTCATCAAGTCCAGTCCCCTGCCCTCATGGCAGGACAAAATACTGACTAGACCATCCCTGATAGACATTTATCTAACCGTGTTGCCCACGGCCCAACATAATTTGACAAGAGTGTGGGCTCTGGGGTGGGGCTGAGGATGAGCTCTGGGGTATAGAGGAGGGAGCTCTGGCTTTGGAGGTGTCAGGGTATGGCAGGAAGGGATTTCGCTTGAGCGGCTCCCAGTCAGCAGTGCAGCAGGGGCACTAAGGGAAGCTTCCTGCCTCTCCTGGCACTGCAGACCATGCTGTGCCCCAGAAGCAACCAGCAGTAGGTTCCCTGCCAATGGGAATGCGGAGCTAGTGCTCAGGGCAGGGGCAGTGTGTGGAGCTCTGTGCCTCTCTCCCACCACCACCTACGAGCTGGGCCTGTTGCCGTCCACTTCTGGGGTGCAGCACAATCTATGGTGCCAGGATAGGCAAGTAGCTGCCTTAGCACCCCCACAGGTCACCTGACCCCACTGCAGCAAGGAGACCTAGTGCCCGACATTCCACAACCCAGTACTAGGGCCGTGTCCAGACTCAGGGGTTCTTTCGAAAAAAGTAGCCTTTTTTCGAAAGAACTTCCCCTGCGTCCAGACTCAAGCCGCGTTCTTTCGAAATTATTTCGAAAGAACGCGGCTTTTCTTTCGATGGTGATAAACCTCAATTTACGAGGAAGAACGCCTTCTTTCGAAAGTTCCTCTTTTGAAAGAAGGCGTTCTTCAATGTAAAGAGGCCATCTTCGAAAGAGAGCATCCAGACTCGCTGGGTGCTCTCTTTCAAAAAAGCGGATTTCTCTTTCGAAAGATCCGCCTGCAGTCTAGACGCGATCTTTCGAAAGAGGCTCTTTCGAAAGATGCTTTCGAAAGAGCCTCTTTCGAAAGAAGCCTGCAGTCTAGACATAGCCTAGGTGGTAACCCGTAGTTTGAAATCCACTAATCTAGAATGGGATGTGGGGGAGTAATTCTCATTTCTGACAGGCTTTCTGGTCTTCCCTGGGGATCAGCAAAGGCACAGGGATCTGCCCACCTGGAACCAGCGGGGAGCAAGGCACCTTCTATGCATTTTATCTTCACGGGGCAGCTAGGGTGGCAGCATCCCCATTGGACAGATGGGGGGAGCTGTGGCGCTGGGGCGCAGATCCCCAAAGGCAGGTGTCCGCCTTGTGGAAGTAAAGCCCCGAATGACCCCTTAAAGCAGGGAGAATAAGCGACTGGCTTAAACCCCAGAGAGAAGCCCAGCCAAAGAGGGCTGGCATCCCAGATCTGCCTCCCAGCCACAAGGCATCTCCCTTAAGGCCGCTTCTCCTCCTTCCCGCTCCCTTTCCTCTCCTCTCCCCTCGGGTCTCACAACTCCCAGGGAGAAACCGGCCGGGAGCTCCATCTCCACCCCGCCCCGCAAGTAGCGCGCAGGGGCAGGCGATTTTGAAACGTCCGCTGTGCGCCTGCGCTCCCGCTGCTGCCCGCAGCCCTAGCGAGGCTGGTCCCAGGCTGGGCGCAGCGGCCGGGCGACCGCTGCCCCTCCCTCGCTCCCCGTGGGACTCCAATTGGACGCCGCCTGCTTGATTGGTGGGGCTCTGTCCCCAGTCACCAATAAGCGGGTTCATCGCGCAGGGATCCTGTTTCACGCCGTGCAGCCGCTTTTGCCTCGGGAAGCCAAAGTGTCCGGCGGGGATTGTGCGCTCACCCATCCATCATGCTGCACATGCTGCCGCTGCTGCTAGCCCTGCTGAGCCTGGGGAGGCAGCTCAGCCCATGCCTCGCCTGTCAGCTGCCCTCCGACTGGAGACCCTTGAGTGAAAGCTGCCGGGCTGAGCTGGCAGAGATCATCGTGTACGCCAAGGTCCTGGCCCTCCACCAGGAGATGTACAGTATGTACAACTACCTGCCCTGGCAATATGAAGCCAGCGAGGGGGGGCTCTTTTACTCGGCTGAGATCGAGATGCTGTGTGACCAGGCGTGGGGAAGCATGCTGGAAGTTCCTGCAGGCTCTAGGCTTAATCTCACTGGACTGGGTTACTTCTCCTGTCACTCCCACACAGTCATGCAGGATTACTCTTACTTCTTCTTTCTCAGGTGAGTAAAAAGGTGTGATCCAGGCCCTGCTTGTAAATGAGAGCGAGAACACTCCTCTTTCGTAAATGCTCTCCGAACACTTCAGCTGAATCTCTAGAGCTTTTCAGAACCAAACAAAAGTTACTTTGGTAACTTTTCTGTATCTAAAATACAGAGTGAGCCACCAGAAATGACTTAGATTGTATAGCAAGTGAATAAAAAAGCCAACGTGTCCTGTTGTTTAACTAAATCATGGATGAGCCTGGTACATTTCTGTTAGCAATGCTCTTACCCAGCTGCAGAGGATGTAGGAGAGCAAAGTTACTTTGGAAAGTGAAGTTTCATACTCCTTGTTCTTCAGGCAGGTACAGATTCACCTAGCAGAGAAGACAGGAGCGAATGTGACACTTTTCAAAGGAGAATACTTTTATTGTGATTTTAATTGGAAGGAATGGTGCCTAACTAGTGCTTTCCTGTACTCCAGAAAGTAGAAACAAACATGTTCAACTTTGAAATCTTGGGTGTGTAATATATAAATGATTGTATGACCTCAACAAAAATAAAACTATGCATTTTCCTATAGCATGTTGCTGCAAAGGATTGTGTGTTTATAGTTGTTGTGGTTTAGATCTTACATTTCAGTGTTTGATATTTACACCATTCTGTAAATTTTAATCTGTCAGTTTCTTTGATCTGAAGTACCAGATAACTGGCTTGTTGAAGTATGAAGGCAGTAAATGCACCAGTATATCAATAGACAGTGTGGAAACTTGACTCTGAGAATGTTTTCAACCACCAAACTGATGTGTTCCAGGAGGATAGGGCCATCAATGGCTATTAGCCAAGATGGTAAGGGACACAACTCCATCCTCTGGGTGTTCTCAAACCTCTGACTACCAGAAGCTAGGGCTACATGATAGGATAGTTCACTCAATAGGTTGCCCTGTTCTGTTCATTCCTTCTGAAGCATCTAGCACTGGCCACTGATGGAAAACAGGATAATGGGCTAAGTGGACCATCGGTCTCATCTAACACAGTTTGGTTCTTATGTTCCAGTTTAGAATTGAGCAAGTTATTGTTTTTTTTCCAACTTGAGACAGAAGGTGTAAAGTTCTTCAAGGATTTTAGGCAATGACTAGGATGTAAATCAGGTTCTTATTTGAAAGCTAATCTCAGTTAAAGTGATTTCCTCCCCACCTCCCTCTCAAGATCTGTTTTGGAAGCCTGCAGATAAAATATTAAATGACGAAGCACCACTTTCTAAAGAAAAATAAACATCCCAGCAGATGGCATTTGTTCCCATCTTGTTGCTCATTTGTGCTCAGCGATTTGTGGTATTAACTTCTTACGGTGATCTTGCTCATTTATAAACCATGGCAAAGTCTTTCATGACCAAAAAGAAATAGTGTTTCAAACAATTTGTCATGTCCTGTGCAACAAATTTATTTTGAGTTTCTATTTAATTGCAGCTGTGTTCAGCTCAGCCTGACTTTATTTCTGTGAGACCAAAGTAGGTACTTTAGATTCTGGTCAGTTTTATAGGCTGGATAGATGCCAGTGTCTATTCTCTCAAAAGTTTGGCGTATGGGTTTAGCACTGATCCCTAAGTATTTACTCAGAAGATTTTTCTTTGCTCTTCTGGGTATCAAGCCAGCCAAATCCTCATTTTAAGCACGTTAAAGGAATAAGAGACTATAATGTGGAAATAAAGCCATCACAGGAAATCTTTAAATCCAAAAATACTTGTGAAATTCACTCAGTAATTTGTATAGAAAAATTTAGTGATTCTCACACCAGGATAGTGGTGACAGAGAAGCAAAACAAAACATGTTTTAATGGTATCTGCTAATATCTCTGAAAGCTAATTTGGTATAAGTTATTAATGGATTATTTTAAGTTGCACCCATCCAGCTCTGTGGACACATGGAAAGAAGTGAAAGACTAAAGAATAGAAAAAATCAAATGACACCCAAAGTGTAGGACCCTCTCAATTATGCTTCCTGTCTTTCAATGAGCCTTTGGTGGATGGACCTCTGTGCCCATGCAGAACTCTATTAACATCTGTGTGGTTGTAGGGGCCTACCTATGTGGAACTCATTGCAGGATTGGAGCCTATTGGGCAGAACTACAACTAGCGTACATTGCTGTTATGATAGTGTCATGAACCAATAGCTGTTTACACTCTCTATGAATATACACCTCAGATTCTCCCACTACCCAGTCCAGCCAGTCAGGCAATAGTCCTGGTCTGGGTGAGAAACACAACATAGATGGGGAACAGTACCCATGATCTGATATTACATAAGCACTATCTGATTTTTATTTCAGAATGGATGAGAATTATAACCTTCTTCCTCACGGGGTAAATTTCCAAGATGCAATATTTCCAGACACGCAGGAGAACAGAAGGATGTTTTCCAGTCTCTTCCAGTTTTCCAATTGCTCCCAGGCGCAACATGTCATAACTTTCTCCAGTGACTGGGATATTCAGGAGGACAACAGGGTAAGCCTCAGTGGGTAGGTGTATTCCCACATCACTTGTAAACCCAAGTGCCTGGAATGTACAGCAGTTACAATTGACAGTACTTTTCAGCTAGATCATGGGTTCCCAAACTGGTGGGCGTGAAGAAATTCCAGAGGGTTGGGGGGCACAAGGCGACCCAGCCCCCGCCCCCCATCAAGTTTTTCTGCCCTGGTCAGTTCCTTTTTGGGGGGGGGGGGCATGAGGGTTTTTCAAAAATAAAAAAGGGTGGCGTGATGCTGAAAAATTGTGCTAGACGGTCATGTAATGTTTTAACATTGTATTGTGACAAGCCAACTCTCTGCTCTGGTCTTATCTGAAATGCTTAGGGGCATGAGCTCGAATTTTCCAAGTGGTATATTGTTTGAACCAGTGTTTTCTATCTCATGAAGTTTCTTATCTCACCCTTTCTGGCACTAAATCTATGCTGTTAATTGGGCCACCCTACCCGTTTTTAGTAAGCAAAGTCCCTGATGAAGAGATCACTGGTGGCTGTGTCTACAGTGGCTTTTGTTTTGGCCTTTGTGGAGAGTGGGGGACATGTATTACTTTCCGGTTTAAAAATAAACGGGGAATACTTTGTTAGCAGTTTTGGTGGTTATTTCCAGAACAAAAATTTTTTGATTATGTTTTTTTGTGCCAGTGCTGATAGTTTTATGAAGTTGGTGGTTTCCCCCAAGAGCTATGAGAATTGTATGTGTCTCTCTAGCTTAGGAATGTCTAGACATTTGTCATTGGTTGCAACTTCGTCCCTGTTGATTCATGCTAAGTCTACAAAGCAGTTCTGTTACATGTAGCAAAAGTAGCTCTATTGCCTTGTTCTGGAGAATGATGGTAGAAGCTCAGTAGCCAATTGAAGGACTTCTATTTACAAACTGGCTCACGGCCAGCATAGGACGTTTTAGCTTCTGGTTTTCCAGCTGGCCAGTGATGCAAAATAATCAGAACATTGCTCAGATAAGAGAGCAGTCACCATCAGGTAAACTGTCTGAGGGCTTAGCTGCTTAACTCATATTTTCAGTTGTGTTTGGAGTGGACCATTGAAATCAGATGGTTTTTAAGAGGGTGAGGAAGGTTTAGCCTACAAACAGACCCTGTAGTTATAGAAATAAAAGGACAGCAGAGAGAACAGGCTTAGAGTTACGGCCAAGGGCTGGGAATCAGGGTACTAGACCCAAACCTGCCTCTGTTTCTCCATCAGTAAAATGTGGGGATATGGAAAGGTTACAAAACTCGTTGAGATTTGCCATGCAGAGGTGTAAATCCACCCACATTGGGAAAGGCTGGCTGGTCTTCTGCTCTAGATTAGAGGCGTAAGATTGAACAGGTAGGGGATAGCTTGTGTCTTCAGCCTGCTGTTTGACTATCCTCAGAGTCTGAGACTTTTTGCAGGCACAGTATTGATTTAGGCCCAATTCTACAGTTAATGGAGAGGGAGGTTTAACTGAATTTTCAATCCTCCAAAGACTTTGGCAGAGTAGCACTTGAATATGCCAGCAGAGAATCTGGCCCATTCATTTCCATGGAAATCACAAGACAAAATCCCCAAAGGCCACGTGGGGAAACAGAGAAACAAATGGATCAAAGGTACATTTCAGCTGTTGTGCTCTGAGACCCTTTGCAGCTCTGTGCAGCTTCCAGGGTGGAATAATAGCTGCTTGCACAACAGGTTTGGACTGAGATTTTTAGCCACACTGCAGGAATAAATTCTGTCCAATTAACAGGCATATAACAAATTCTGTCCAAATAACAATACAAGCATCTACACAGCAATTCTGTTATTTCAAAATAATTTAAAAATAACAAACAACTTATTTTAAAATCTGTAAACCTCATTCCACGAGTAATAATGCTTATTCTGAAAGAGCTATTTCAGAATAGCAGTCGTAGGGACACTCCACTGCTGCTATTTCAAAATAGCTCCTCCCCAGTGCCTCCTGGGGCTCTAAATCGAGGTAACATGTCCACATTAGGGAAGCCTGCCTCGGACTAATTTTGAGGTTCCCTGTAGTGTACACATGCTATTTCGAAATAAGCATGCTCTGTAGACTTATCCTTAGGGTAGGGAAGCAGTTTCCAAACTCTGCTGAAGGCCCTTCATTCTTTGTTTCCCATTCCTTAAATAGCTGGGAAACCTTTGTTCAGTTCTCCCACGCCTCTGGAAGAGTATAGAATTCAAGATGGATTCCAGTATCAGGTGGCATTATTACATGTCTGTGTAGGACCAACCATAGTTTCGTTTTGTTTTTCCTCTAAGCCCATTCACAAATTATTGTCTTGACCATCAGGCCATTAAGTTCCTTAAGCATCACTAATGGCTTTCACTAGAAGACCTAGAATTAACAAACAGGTATACACTTCATACTTCTAACTTCACAAACAAGAATGATACATGCATATAAATATAATACTTTAAACCCTTGCCATTGGCAGTGGATGTGTTCCTGCATTCATTGTGAATGGCAAAACTTGCATATACTAGGATCTGCAGCTTCCAGCCTCCTCGGTGAGCTCTTCGTGGCTCCCAGCCCCTGCTGCCCCTTTAGGCTGGGATAGGAGACCCATGAGTATGCTCAACCTCAAATAGCGATGTTATGAATTGCAAGAGTCTCCTGTATACACATTCAGGGGATTATAGGCTCTTGAAATATAGGGTGTGTCTACACTGCACCGTTATTTTGAGATAACTAGCATTATTTCAAAATAACAATGCGAGTATCTACACAGCCATTCTGTTATTTTGAAATAATTTTTAAATAATGGATGGCTTATTCTGAAATCTGTAAACATCATTCTACAAGGAAAATGCCTATTCTGAAATAGCTATTTTGAAATAAGGCGTCTATTGACGTTCCACTGCTGCTATTTCAAAATAGAACCTCATCAGAGCCATTCTAAGTTATTCCTCCCTCTGGAACTCTAAATTGAGATAGCACGTCTACATTAGGGAAGCCTGCCTTGGACTAATTTTGAGGCTTCCTTGCAGTGTAGATGTGCTATTTCAAATAATTATTCCGGAATAGTTTATTTCAAAATAAACGTGCAGTGTAGACATAGCCTATATAAATTACTTGCCTGGTTTTGCATAAAGCATATTTGACATATGGATACCCATATTCAAAATCATATTTCCATAAAAATATTGGGGTGAAGTCTCACAGATGCAACTTATGTGGCCGAAGTGTGAGAAAACCCATCCCGAGTGATGTAACTTACACTGACTTAATGCAGTAACCACTGCACTGTTGGCAGGTGACAAGCTTCTGCGTTTCGTTGAAGTGGTCAGCAGGAGAGTGCACTCCCATTTACATAGCGGCTGTGTTTACACTGGGTCACTTATTCCGGAAAATCAGCCGCTTTTCTGGAATAAGCTGCGAGCTGTCTACACTGGCCCTTGAATTTCCGGAAAAGCAACGATGCTCTACTGTACAAAATCAGCCGCTATTCCAGAAAAACGATTCTGCTCCCGCTCGGGCATAAGTCCTTATTCCGGAATACTGTTCCGGAAAAGGGCCAGTGTAGACAGCCCAGTAGTCTTTTCCGGAAAAAAGCCCCGATCGCGAAAATGACGCTCGGGGCTCTTTTCCGGAAAAGTGTGTCTACATTGGCCACGGACGCTTTTCCGGAAAAAGGGCTTTTCTGGAAAAGCAGCCTGCCAATGTAGACGCTCCTTTTCCAGAAATACTTATACGAAAACTATTCTGTTTTCAGCATTTCCGGAAATTCATGCCAGTGTAGACACAGCCAGCATGTCTTCACCAGATACACTTCATCTATGCCCCTGCATCAATGGCTGCAGCACCAAAAGCCTTTAGTGTCCTCCTCCCTTCTTCCCTGTATCAGACAACTGCAATACCTCAAATTTCCCCATTGTTCTTTCCCACTTCTCTCAGTTGTATTATCCTATCAAAATCCAAACTATTTCCATATCCAAATTCAGCTGAGCAGCTCTGTGCTTTCTTTTAAACTGAAAGGTGCTATATGTACTAAGTTCCCATCACAGTAAACGAGCAAGTGTTCAGTGGATATTCCTCCTTCAAAAGTAAAAAAAAAACTATTAAAGGGGCTCTTGGAGGGAGGCAAGTGGGAATGTGGAGGCAAAATTGAATACCCAGTTACTCTACAAGTTCCCACTGGAAATTCATGCTTTGCTGCTTTTGTCAGTGAAGAGAGGGAGGCTTGAAGTGGTGTAATAAAGAACAGTGGAGTGGGCAGCAATTGTCTTCTGCTACTCAGCAAGTGTGCTGAGCATGAGTTCATTATGACTAATACAAGGTTTAGGAAAGCAGACAAATACAAAACTACTGTTGAGGAAGTACCAAAAGCTATCAAACAAATGAAGTCAGGTAAATCACCTGGCCAAGACGGCATGCCAGCCTCGTGCAACGAAGTTTACAGGATCGGTCGAAAAAGGCTTTGCTTGTCAACCGATCGCTGCCTAGACTGCTGCTTTTTGCCAGCAAAGTGCCATGTCGGCAAAAAGCGGGGGCCATTTTTATTCAAATGAATGATATTTAAATCCCTGCTTCATTTGCAATTGCGATGTGCCTTATCTACATCCCTCTGTCGGCAGAGGGGTGTAGTTTAGACACACCCTAGGAGGGTGAACTGGAGAGCAAGAAAGTGCTATGGAAGGGGTGGGGAAGTAGCTCTGGGGTCTTGGAGGTGTCTTATAGCAGGTGTCGGGGACTCACGTAGGCAGTTACTACTACAGGGCCCTAGGCTGTAACCCAGAGTAGAAGGTGGGTCTGGGTTCCCCCAACACCCACCTCCCCATTTCCACTTGGGGAAATGGACTGTGGAGCTTATTCTCAATTTTTTCCATATGTTGGCCAATGTTGAGAAGAGTTCAACAAAAACAAACTAACGACCTAGGCATGGTGCCTGTGGAAGAAAACATTGTCCTCACTCTGCGTTTGTAAGCAACAAGTAGCCAGAGGCAGTTTTATTACGAGCTGCAGCAAGGGAAAAACTGGTTCGGA